TTCACCTCACAGGAGATGAACTTGGCTCATAAATTATCATTCATTTTCTCCTCATTAAAGCAAGATATGTGTCTTAGCCATGGAAATCAACTACATATGTGTATTTTAACATTATCCCTTAACTGTAATCTTAAACAATGCAGTGAAGTTATGCAATGTTATGTACTGACTATCAGATCAAGGTCTCTCTTACTGGATAGCCTGAGCAGTCTTGGGACCTTGAACCTGATTCTCAAGTTAAAGAAATCAATGGTTTCACAACATGATTTAATGACACAAATTTTGACACCTTACGTCGCGAGATGCCTTGAGTTGGGTTTCACGGTTGGTCTGATTCTGTAGTGCTATTGCCTGTGTCAGAGGCTGCCGCCATGTACCATTATTTACATTGAGGCCTTGATTATGTGCATCGGGATAGGTTCCCTTCGGCATGATTTGAATCTTGCGGGTCTCTTGGATGATATCTGCAGTCTTATGTTGCACAATTGTCCGACCCTCCTGTGAAGCCCAAAGAATAGATATTGAATAAGACATTGTCGTTTCTAGACACTTTTTTATTTTTTATCATTTATCAGCGTCGTTTCTAGACTCATGTTTGACAACTATTAAAAAAGAGCTATTCTCCCAAAATGTTTATTCCCATTTCCTTTAAACTGATTCCTATTTCTAATCTTGATTCCTACATAGTTAGTCCTACCTGAACCTGGAAGTAAATCTAGAAATAGATTTTAACTAGTCTAAGGACTATAACTGCCTCCAAAGAGTAATGCACAGAATACCTCAAAGAGTTCCTTGTTTGCAGCTTGGGTTGCACCAAATTGCAAAACAAGATAATGGGATGGGAAGAACCCCAATGTTAAGGGGTTTGCCCATTATTTAACAAAGTTTATTATATAATCCATTATAATTTAAACTACAAATAATTTTTCGTACCTCAAAAACCCTTTCAAATGGATCACTGACGTGGTTAAGGGAAGTCTGTACTGTAGGACTGTCCTTCCTTCTGAAGCTTTCGGTAGATTTGTATGATTGTTGCGCATGTTGCTGCTGTATCATTTAAGAGGAAAAGTATTATTTAAACCAAACAAGAAAAGAAAAAGAATCAAGTGAGGTGGCTCAGGCTCTTTTTACGAGTACAAATTTCAAAGGGAAAATAATTAGTACATTTTTTTTAACACAGTTAATAATATTTTTTATTTAGTTATTAAAATTTATTTTTTAAAATTTTTTTGTTTTGAATTTAAATTTAAAAATATTAATTTTTAAATGAATAACCTGAAATATGTTTTAAAATGTGTTGAATTGGAGAGTGTATCAAATATTATCCATTTCAATTACAATATTCTTACTGTACATGATAATATCATCAACGGACATCAAACACATGACTCAAAGAAATCAAACTAATTTACAAATTTACAAATTATAACAAACCAACATAAAATTAGACAACAACCTAGCTATAGAACTCGAACATTAGATCTAAATGTACTAACGTCTCCACCTTAATCACTAGGCCAAGACATCATTAGCAAGGTAATGAGCTGAAGACCTATTAGATTACCGTTAACAACAAGTTATCTCTGATTAACAGAAGTTTCAGATTAAAAAAAAAAAAAAGGAAAAAAAAAAAGAAAAAAAGAGAGTAAATTCTAATCACCTGAAGATCATTTGAGGCATTAAACACATCTGATCTGGACGATCTCGTTCTTGGTGACTCAAGTTTCTGAGACATATTGTCATTTTCTATAATTGCTTTGGCTTCCCGAGCCAGAACACCCCAAAACCCTTTTCCATCATTTCTAGCGTCGTCATATGCATTGAAGCCCTAAATTTTGGTAATCACAACAAATTCATCCAAAACATTAACATAAACAATCCCTTTGATCAAATGGAAAATTAAAAACTTATAAGAAAAAATTATTAATCTCTGAAATTCATGTCAATTCTAAAATCATGAGAAGGATTACAAACACCATTGAAAATTTTTGAAATATATGAGATTTAAATGAATTATGAAAAATGATAAGCATATAATTATTTTAAGTTCAATGATTTGTACAATATTACGTGCTATATCATAATTATAATTGATTTTTTTATTCTAAAAGTTATTTTGATTGATTATTTTATTTCAAAAGGTGAAAAAAATGAAATTAATCTCCCAGTAAAGCAATTAAAAGGGAATTGTGGGGAGAAAGAGAAACCTTAGATCTAGGAGAAATGTCTCGGTCTCCTCCGAATACAGGGGACTCGCGGCGAGCGGCGGAGGCACGGATTGCCTGAGCGGCAAGGGAATCGGAAGGTGATCTCGTCGATAGCGGATGCAACGAGGACGAGGGAAATGAATGCGACGATGTAAACTGCGGATTGGAAGATTTGTCGTTGCTGTCATCAACATGATTGCTAATTTCCTCCTTGAAGGTGAAGGCTCTGGTCATCCCCTGCCGTCTTCTGTACGCCATTTTTTCAGTTTAATGAATCCGGCGCCGGAGAAGAGAAGACCGTTTTGGAAAATTTGTTCTTGCCTTAACAAACTTCCCCTCCTTTTTTTAATGAATTTCGGATAATTGATTGTATTAGATTAGATGGTTTTTGATATACGCCAAACAAATAAAAAGAAAGGGAAAAAAATTCATGCAAAATGGGTTAACTTGATGACCGTTACTAGTGTTTCTAGCTATTTCTACGGTTTCATTTTGATTTATTCTTACTATGTTTGGGTTGAGTAGAAAGAAAGGGAGAGGAGGAGAATTATATTTTTTCTCTTCTCTTCTAATTTTTATTTTTTTATAACAAAATAAAGGAATTTTTAACCCAAATATACAATTAATTTCTTTTAATTTCTAAATTATTAATTTCTTTTTTATTTATTCTAATAACTCTTCATGTTAAGGTATACGGAATTTCAAAAACTCAAGTTTAAGTGGTTGGTCATTTGCATATAAGTCACTCATACTTCTCCACTGCGATTCGAGGCTTCACAAAATCAGTACCAATAATGTGTGCTTTGTTGATGTGTAGATTTGACTATCGTCTTCTAATGAAGCCACCAAAAAATTGAAGTGTAGAATTTCTCCGGTGATAATTCAAACGTATGATTGGAGATTTTAAGAAGATTGAATGTCCAATGGTGCTTGCAATCAAACTCAATTAAATCTCTTTCGATTTTTGGTAAAGTAATTTTAGTAGAAGAGAAAAATCTCCATTTGAAATTCAGGTTTTCTATACCTATTTATATTAATAGGGATAGAAGATTTGTCATTCTCTTTCTTCTTCTTCTTCTTCTTCTTTTTTATTATTATTATGAAAAGAAAAATTGTTATTCTAATTCAATTTGAATTGCCAAATTTCGTCTTTAAGTTAAAATAAAAAAATTAGAAGGTTAAGACTTTTCCCTATCTTATTTTTTTTCCCCTTTTTTGCGGCACACCTAAGTCCATTTGGACTGGAACTTTTAGCCTGGGCTCCAAGCCAATTATGCAGCCCAAGTCTTGAGCCCAATAGGCTAGTGTTCTAGCCATATCGTTGTCTAAGGATTTAATTGCCACTCTTTAAATTTTCTTGTCCTCAACTTAGAACTAATCCAAACTTAAATTAATTAAATTAAATTAAATTAATTCTCCCTACCAATTTAATCTAAAACTTGATTCATTTCTTTCTCTTACTATTTTCACATAAATTAATCTATATCCATAAACTTTTGGATTTATATAAATCTCAATTTACAAAATGTGCTAAGTATGTGACCCTTTAGGTTTCTATAATGATAGCAATAAGAAACATTGACAGACCAAGAGCAGTATCTACTAACACATCATGGCCACCTAGAGTGAGAAATTGTCGATGGCTTCAACGAACCTTCCTATGACCAATGCTCTAGTTTAATTCAATCCCTTCGTCATTAATATCCTACATCCAACAAGATACATGCTATGTGTCATCATCCTTAAGGTTTGATGTATCTTTCTTTGATTTCCAAGAAATAAATACTTCTTGAATGAACCTTCATTCTTGCTATGGACTTTTTGAATAGTCTCATCTTAATCAAAGGGCCAAAGATATATTTTCTTGTAAACTCGAGAGGGACATATCTTATCTTTGCCCATTACTTTCATGCGATTCATGATATACTCAATAACTGTATTACTCGCAACTCCTCAAAGTGGCTATTTTTAATAGCATCAAAATACATGAGTCCTTGTATAGAATAATGACAATTTCAAGCCTACGGACTACTCACACTCATGTATAGCTAAGAAGCTACTAACGACACATGCATGTAGAGTTCTCATTATGAGTGAATCCAATGAACTCACTTATTTTAAATCACCCACATGGAATACATGATTTTGTGAGAAGAAGTCTTATCACCTAGCAAAGCATCACATATGATAGTTTTATATCATCGATGTCCCATCTTAATGATATATACAACTATTGGACAATTTAAGGATATTGCTATCGCATCATGCGGTTTTCACTAATAGAGATGGCTACTATTGCATTTTGATGCAACAAACATTTAATTTTATCAATATTTAGCATATGTAGAGAAATAACACTTAATGTTCAATAAAAAAATGTCATAATTGAATATAATGAGCGTAATTAAATATAATAAGTGTAATCATATATTATATATAAAATTATCTTACCAAATTAGTTGACTTGTAGGTTATATTCTAACAAACCATGCCTTTTATGATCATCCTGGATTGTATGTCATAATGGCTGTTTCATACTTGTTGAGTCCACCATCTAAATAATGTTTATATATGTAATTGAATCTTTTAAGAGGTTTTGATGGTCTGTTGAATTATTGTTGCTTGGGATTGTCCTTCTCGACCCTTGTGTCCCTTAATTGATTAATATAAGTTTCAATTGGATCATCATAAGTGTTTTCCCGCAAAATTTTATCAACCACGCCAGTAGTACCATCAATAACAAAATAATCATTAAACTCAGACTTGGTTAAGTGAGACTCATCATTGAACACTTTAGATAACATTTTAGCTTTTTCCTCACCCTTGGGGATATCCTCCTCTTCTTTCTTTGTAGGTGTGCTTTCTACTTCTTGTACCCCTTCAATAGCCAAGTTGATCAAACAACTCATATGAAATTCCAACCTTTTTAATTGCTTTAATTTGTTCTTGAAGTTCTTTATTAATGGAGGCCATGAATTTAGTTCACAATTTTCCCAACGTAACTCATTTTCCTAAGCTTGAACCCATGAATATGGCTCCAATATTTCTAGAAACATTTGGATAATGGATAATGATACATATACCTTGCAAAATTATACACTCCGTTACACAATGACAGTTTCTGTTACTTAATCCGTTACATACTTACCTAATAACTCCCAAAACACACCCAGCCCTTTCTTTCTCTCTCTCCTTTCCTTTCTCCCTCTCACTATTCTAGCCAGATACTATATTCAAGCACCAAATCAGAATCTTGAGTCTCTAGTATCTTGAGGAAGAGTTCATTTTCTCACAAAATCATCCTTGTTTTAGTCCATGATTTTGCAAATCATTAGACACATAAAACAAGTGTGTTTTGGGATGATATAGCAAAAAGTGAAGCGCATGTGAGTGGAGCCAATCGGCAGAAAAGGGAAAAGAAAATAGGGGAAAGTTTTGCAGTTTTAGTACTATGCATAGCATTGTCATTTTGTCCGATTTGTAAAAGCTCACTGTTGGATTGAGTTGAAATTTTGTTTAGGTTTTTAAGAGACATTGATCTACATTTTGAACAATCAATGTTTTTGTTTGAAGCTTTATAGGTTTTGATTTTGTACCCAGAACAATAGCTTGTTTTTGGTGATATGTTTTTCTATAGTTTTGGTACTGTGCGGAGCTTTGCTATTTTGTTCAGTCTATAAAAGTTCACCATTGGATTGAGTTGAAATTTTGTCTGGCTGTTTAAGAGACATTGATCTATATTCTAAATGGTTAGTTTTTTGCTTGGAGTTTTGTAGGTTCTGATTTTGTATCCAAAACAATAGCTCGTTTTTTGGTGAACCGTTAGTGTATAATGGATTAAGTAACGGAGATTGTTAGTGTGTAACGGAGTGTGTAACTTTATAAGATGTATGTATCATTGTCCTTAGATAATTTATCCAACCAGAGTGATATGTGTTAGAATAAAAATAAGAGATTCCTTGATATTGCTTTGTTGCAACACTCTTCCTTTCCCACTTGTTAGTGGTTGCTTCCACTTGTGCATTTAAACCTCGAGAAAGATTTAGTTCATGGGCTCCTGTAGTCCCTTGATAGCAATTATAGGCCCATGTGATAACTCAATTAGTAGGTTTATACATACATATGTGTGTGTGTGTGTGTGTGTATGAATTACTAGTCGACTTTGCAAAAACAAGAAGCAAAAAAAAATCAAAGTAAAGAAAAGAAAAGAAAAGAAAAATGTTGAAATTAAATTTAGAATTAATCAGTTTCAATATTAATTAAATTCAACAATGCTTAGTAATAGTATCAAAAACTTGATGCGTTAAAATTATTCTAACAAATGCACTAATCAATTCAAGTAATATAATGATGAATAAAATGTCAAAACCACAAAGATTATAATTAATTAAGTACAAAAAATAATCAATCTAAGATTTATTTGAACAATTGAAAGGGAGAGAATTTCTAATTGAAATAACAAAAAGAAAATAACAATTAAAACAAAGCTAAGTTTAAAATGCCAATTTGGTCCTTTTACTTTTGAGAAAAGCTCCTTTTTACTACCCATACTTTAAAAAGCTCATTTTTGCTCCCTTAAGTTTATTTTTCTGGCCCTCTTTTAGTCCCTTTGTTAAGTTTTGGATGATGTGGCACATTAATTGATAATTTTGCCTTATCTTCTCTTAAAATTAATTAGGTGGAAATGCCATATTGTATAAAATGATGATACGTAGATTCCATGTCGTAAAAACAAAAATAAAACTATGAAAAAATCCACAATGTAAAATAATAATAACTTTAACAACAAAAATAAAAATCCAACTTTACATACATATATATATATATAAACTCATAAAAAGAGTACAAGAATTTCTTTTGGATGGAAAGCTATTCTTCATTAATAAATATCTAGAGTTATAAGTTTGATAACAAAAGAAAATAAAATATTTTAGTACCGTCACCAATTCTTGTTTAGTCTTACCAAAATCTATTATTCTATTGTTGGTCTAAATACTAAGTAGTTTAAGGCCCGAAACCTTGAAACCGCTATACATTCACATGAAAAACATAATATATATATATTTGATAAACAACATAGTACTATTGAAAATGAATAATCAAGGACATCTCAATCTATTCCTTTGCCATATAGGCTAACGAGGAAAATAAAAACCTAGAAATGCCCATGGGCCTAATATAAAGAGATGATGCCTATGAAAAGTGTTGACGTGCCAAAATGGATGGAGTCGCCATCTATCCAAATGCGGTGGGATAGATCATCAAGGTCTACGTAGAAATTGACTAGGTTCGGAGGATCGATTAAGCATGGGGAAGGTGTTAGGCACCCCACAACTTCCATATAAATATGG